TCTCTCTCTCTCTCTCTCTCGAACGGTCAATCCCTTTCTTCACCGCGTCGCAACTCGCTCTCTGTTTCTAATAATCCCTGATCCCCAGGCGTGGAACGGAGTCTCTCACCGTTCGCCTCGCATCTTTCAATCGAATTGATCGATCACCGATCGAATTCCTTTTAAAACGTTTCAAATGTTCGAGTAGAGAACGAACAATTGTCTCTCTCTCTCTCTCTCTTTCTCTTCACTTTATCCCAAAGTCGTGGCGATCTTGTTCACCGAAGAGTTTTCTCGAACAGAAGGCAAGAGGAGGAAAGAGGATAATTTGTTGTTGAGGAGGGGGGAGAGAAAAGGATGAAATGTACCAAAGTCCCCTGCTTGGTCCGGATCGGCTCGAAAGAATCGCTCAGTGGCTCGATACGGGTCTGGAAAGGTTTGGAATTTGACACGATTTCGATTCTTCCGCCGTGTTTCGAGGCGCGCACGAGCCTTGGCACACACTCGTCCTTGGAAAGTGTCGCGGGAAAGTATATCCTTTCTTTGTCTGAACTTCTCTCGCGGGGATTCAAAGGGATTCAATCTCTCGTGTCGACGATCCTTTTTTATGAAAAATAACGAGAGGAAAGGAACGGCTGTTCTATCCTTTGTTTCGCGCTTTTAAAATGGGAAAAGAGATTTTTCCTTTCTTTTTTCTTTCTTTTTTTTGGGAGGGGAGGAGGGGGTTGGAAAAGTTTTTCCCACGAAAGCTGGGAAATATTTTTACAGAGATATTGTTGACGCCATTGGATTCGAATCTACTGCAGTCTCGATTGGATTTGGAATTGAATCGAAAATTGCGCAGTCTGTGCAAGAGAAGAAAATGTATTCTCCTCCCTTTGGTATAAAGTATCTGGATGAAGGGTAAGAGGAATTTCATTTAACGGATGGATAATATCCCTCCTTGGGTCAAATCCTTAAAGTCAAGCGGTCAGCGTCGAAAGTATGAAGCGTCGAGTTCGATTCATTCGAGGAAAATTAGATTTAAGGATTAGAAAGATTAATTAGAAAGTTATTGCAATATTATTGCAATATACAACGAAATATTTTGAATTTAAGAAACTATTTTTTAACAACGAAACTTGTTTCACTCGGATTAATTATAAATTGATTTTTCATAGTATCGCGATAGTTAGGTGAATATCGTCGATTCTTCGAAAACATTCCAAACTTTTGGTTGAACAACTTTTGAAGTGAAGTACGTTTCGATAAATCACGATACATGGTGTACACTTTTCGCGTAATAATACTTTCGTTATACGCGTAATTACAGTACGCAACAACCACTCTCGTTTCCAGTTGCCCTGGTGCTCAATTTTCCCCATTACATTAATCTCACTCACAGAATAATTGCTTCGTTATTCGTTGCATTATTCACGAACGTTTCCCTAAAGGATAACAGGCTATGATGTTGCAAGTTATAATCCACGAGTGAATTGCATCGTTCGCATTAAGCAACTTTCGATCGAACGACTAATTGGTCAACTTTGGATCAACTTGCCGATCACCGTTCCATCTCCAAAAAAAACTCTCCATTTGTCCATCATTTTTTGCCCTCCCTCTCCCCTCACAAATTAAATCGCGGGTCAAAAACTGTTTTTCGCAACTTTTGATTTGAACAAGTAAGCTCGATCGAGCTTTTTGAATCGTCCACAACCTCGCCTCGCGCAAACACAATGTTAATCAAGTTAAAACGGCTTCCTGATCGTTCGAGCAAGAGTGGTAGCTCGTTCGTCCACTCTTTTAATCGATCCCGACCCGATTGTTTGATCTAAAAAAGAAAAAAAAAAAAAAAAGAAGAGAAAAGAAAAATATCTAATGTAAACGCGGCTTAATAACTGTGGATCCATTTCGAGGCGTCATCGATCTTTCTTCCTTTGACGAAGAAATTTCGATTCCCGGTCAAAGATAGACACAATGGAATCTCTACTATTCGTACGTTGTCTATATATTTGTAACAACGTAAAGAGATGCTTATCCTTTACCGGTGGAAATAGAATTTAATTTAAAATTGACGGACACAACGATTCGTATCTAACGTTCACGTTTATTGAAACTGAATCAGGAGTACGAAGAAATTAGAAAATGTTACGAAATTGGCAAAAATACCTATATATAATATATTGGATATTCTTCTGGTTATCCCTAGTTTTTTACGATAAAAACCATCTTTCGCTCCGTCGTTCCAATTTTTGTATATAAATAACATACCTAATTACATTTTTTTCTTAAAATGTAGAACAATTTAAAATATTCTTATAAGTAAATTCGTTTGTTTTTTTTTTTTTTTTTTCGAATTTCGCTCGATCCACTTTTTTTTTCTGTATTTTTTACCGACCGAGTATTCGATTCGTACGTTTACTTTGGAATCCGTATGGAGATGAGGCGAATCAATGCGAATTTCACGCTGACAGAATGGAAATTTCGTGTCTCGCCTTTCGCGTATCGTGACAATTAGGCGGCCGTATCGCCCCGACATAATCGGGAGGGGAAACCGTTTTCGGAAGCGCACGAGAGATTGTTGGCGTGCTTCTCGTGTTTTGCGAGGACCGTCTGAAGTATAGCGGCGGTCGACTTGAATTATTTACCTCCGGGCACAAAATGATACTCTCGGCCGCGACACGCGTCGTGGAATGAACTCTAGGAATGCGCTTTTTTCCCCCCGCGTTCCGCATCATGCTTGCGATATTATCTCGCGGCGTGTTGGAAATAGGGAATTCTGCGGTGGGGCGCGTGGCTCGATCGGTAATCGGGAGTTATCGATCGAGGATAGACGACAAAAAGAGGGATGAAATTCGATCTCGCGAACTATCGTATCCGTCTACGAGCAAAAGAAGCAAAATGTGATCGAAATTTTTTTTTTTTTAATAATCAATCAATTATACGATCGAATGTGTTTCTCGATATTAGAGGATATTAGAGATAGTATAAAAATCTTCGAAATATAGAACGAATCGAAAGTGCTGAAGTATCGAACAGTTGAAAATGGATTAAATTGGATTTTATTTTAACTGGCGGAAGAAAATTTAAAAAAAAAAGTAGAAGAGAAGCGTAACTTTTACTCGAGTTTAAAAAGATATTCGATTATAGATAATGGCACCACGATTCTTAATTTACTACTACTATTATTACATATCGCGAATTTCTGTCGACTAATTCCTCGAGGGAAAGATATCTCGTATAGGGTGATATCATCTCTCGATCCAGATATTCCCTCGAGAATTCGGTGAACGGCGATAGTTGAGAGGAAATTGTCAAATTTTAAGGGTGTTACGAGGCGAAACGAGGCCACGAAATTTCTGCTCGCCTTTGCATACACGAGTTCCTCCCGCGATTGAATCAATTGAAAAGACGGCAAGAAAGGGTACGGCGTTGAAAGAGAATGCAAAGTTGAATTCGTTCGACGAGGACTCGATTCGATTGTAGGAAGAAACGTGTATTCGAAGAAAACAATTACACAGGTTGGAGGGCCAATTATTATTCAATATCACGGTACTGGAGCATTATCGAGTTACTGGATAGTCTGCTTCGTTAGACGATATTTCCAGAGGTGGTCGATAACAGGTGCATGCACCGAATATTCCGTACCGTCTCTAATCAAAATTATAATTATAAATTTTAGCAAAACATATTAATTAAATTGTTTGATATTACGATATGTACGACACGCAAACATCATAATTTACCGGCATTACTGCGTTGGACGTGTTAAGCAAGAAAGTAAAAATTCACCAGACTCGTGATTCCTGATGCTTTTTCAAATTCAATCGAATCCGGAATGATTGCACAAATGTAATGCAATTAATCCATGTAAAAAGAGTTTAAGAGTTTTATTTTCAAGAATATTATATTTCACAGAAATGGAACTAAGTTGCGGATACCAGACTTTTAACTTTCACTTTCGATGTCTGTGCGTTCACTGGAAAAAAAAAATAATAATAATAATAATAATAATAATACTTGACAACAACTTTTTCGAATATATTTGAATGGAAACGTGACTGGAGACGTGAGAATCTCGTTTCCGAAGCTTGATATTAATATATCAAACATGGAATCAGATCACTCGGATGTTGGTCCACGTAACACTTGCTCAACGCATCACGCATTCCGTCAGACGGTTTAACCGCGTGTCAATTACACCGAAATTGAATTTAATCTCGGTCCGTCGGATAATGTAGTCGAAGGGAGCAAGCTAATGGTATCTATGTATTTAGCTACGTGTCCCCCTCGTGTACACTTCGACGAGCACGAATTGATCCGAAGAAATGAAAAAGAAAAGAATAAAAAAACCAACGAGCAAATTCCAGCTTGAATTGTCTTAAAAAAGAAAAAAAACGAAAGAGAGAAAAAAACATGAAAGAACAAGGATAAAGAAAATACAAGCGCTTCAATGTTCGATGCAAGATGAAAATATTCCGCGTTTTCTCCGCGACTGAGACGCATGACAGAGCTTGCGTACAACTCGCGGCGAAAGAATCGTGAAAAGATCGACGTATGCCAGCCGGTGGAGGAGGCGTTGCGGAGATTTAACTGGTCGCAGAGTGGCACTGGGTCCGTTCCATTTCTCGCGTAACGAATCTTTCGTGGAACGTGAGAATCGTGAGAATCGATCGACACGAGTTGATCGTTGACGGGTTTCAGATTTTCGCTTTTACTATTTTGGCGATCTCGAAAGGGCGCGAGAGGCTCGTGGGCGCGCGCGAGGATCGGCGGAAGAGTTGGTTGCAAGTTGCACCGTTTTCATTCATGAATTCCTCACCGCTGTCGTGGAACGATCGGTGGAAAAACGCGGACCAGTGACGTCATAGCGTCGCGGTGCCTGGCGTCAGACTGGCTCGCCGATAGCATTACGTGCCAGTGCATTGCTACTGATTCGCGCATGCGCGAGCCACTGCTCAGACCGGACAGTTCTCTCGTTCGTTCCCTCTTCCTTTACTTTCGACCTCCTACGCTCGCTCCCTCTCGCTCCCTTCCTCCCCTTTTCTCCCCGATTTCCCTCCGCAACCCTTCGCTCTGCCCCCACTCCTCCTCGCCCTCCTCCCCCCACCCCACCCCCTCCTCCTCAGGATATACCACATGACTAATGTATCTTGACTCCTGTTTCGCTATCCGCGGTGCTCTGCCCGCGAGATCCTATCTCCACTCCCTTCCCTTTTTCCTTCTCATCTGTGCCTCTTCGACGGCTCTCTCGACAAATTTCCATCCCTCGAACGAAAACGTTTATCACCCGATCGCGCGCGATCCAATCCAGCCCGTTGCGTTTTATTTTCTTTAATTCGCTTCTCCTACCCCTTCTCTGTCCCAGATTCTCCTCCACCTTTTCCATTTTTTTTTTTTCAGAAGAATTGTCACTTTTAGTTTGCATTTTCGTTTGATTAATATTACAATCTTAATGTATCGAGATACGAAATATCGATACATTTCAACTTGTTACCTGTTTGCGTCATTTTTGTATATTTATAAAATTCTAATTCCTTTTCATATTTTTAATTTCATAGATTCTTGAATTTAGTGACACGAAACGATTGATTGCAAATTTTTTTGGAGTTTAACAATAATTCGTACCGTTAATTAGTCTGTCGTTTAATAAATTTTCTTTTTCATCGATTCATTTAATATTTCAATGTCGCTTATTTCAATCACTTCGATCAAATAAAAGAAAATCGAGCAAGCAATCGCGCTTTTGTTCCATCCATCGTTCGACTAGGGATTTTCGTTCGTTTCGTTCCTCCTTCGTCATTTTATTTATCCTTAATATTTATCGTTGTGTCGCGCGATTCTCTATTCTTTTCTTTAACAAATTAAAATATCTCTCGCTTTTTTGTTCTTTTTTTTAAAAAAATATAAAAATCTTTATCTATCTGTTATCTATCTGTTATTTTTATGCCATTATTGCCTCGAAGTCCATTCAAATTCCGTCGAAATTTCACTCGAAATCGTTTGATTTACAGTGGGTTCTCTTCTCTTCGGATAAAAATCGTATTTCTACCCAAATTGATTTTTCACCGCTCACGTTCAATGGATTTTCGCTGTTCGAATCCCGATATTCTAATGAGAATCAATTTGTTCACGGCGAGAATTGCTCGATCGTGGTCGGGAAAGCGACCAGTTATGGAAATTGCTCATTGTTTTAAGCAAATTAACCCTCTACGATATCACGTGATTTTGAAGTCACGCGTCTACGTTACCGATCGAGAGGTATATCGAATTCCATAGAATTTAAAGAAGAGTCGATATTTCGATATATCGTCAAAATCAGTAAAAGTGAGTGAAATTATTCAGATTTGCACGAATGGTCAAGATGGAAAAGATGAAAATCGACAATTTTTTTCAAGATTAATTTTTAAAAACGAAACTAGATTATAAAAAGTTAAAACTTTAACGCTATATAGTCTCTCAATATTCGTTTAAACAATTATTGATGGATACATCAATACATCAGTGCAAATAACGTATAAATAAATAAATAACGATCGTCGTCTCAAACTCGAGTTGCACGCACATTGAAACGAATAGCATCGGCGATTTTTTATTTTATACTCGGCCAAATCGAAATGGAAAATTATTACGCACGATCGTATTATCGCTAATGGATCAATTTGACATTGCCGCTTCTCGACGTTATGTCGAATGATCGAAGAGCAAAGCGGATCATTGGATCGTGGACTTCGAAAAGAAGCGTCTAGGATCGGTTTCCATGAATAAAAGAGGAGAAAGCTATGTAACTGTGGAATTGGTATGCGCGAAACCAGGTATCAAGATTCAACAACGAAATTTCCCTCGCCTCCATTTTATCGATTTTTCTCTCCTGTTCATTCTTAAGGACGCGAATAATTATTATGCTCAGAGTGAAAATTGCTCTCGCTGTGAAAATAAACTTTGGAAAGTTTAAAACGAATATATATGTTTTTAAGAACGTGAATATATTCGAGATTCTCGAGAGTTATTTCTCTATTAGTGGATGCTTCGTTGAGAATGAAAGGATATAATATGGTAATGTAATATTTCGTTAAGATTAACGAAACTCTTCAAAATTTTTTATTCTCGAGAATAATAATAAGGAAGAGTACGAATATCGAATTGACATTGAAATAACGTGAGAAATATTTTCTCTATTATTATTTAACTCTTGAAAGATGCCCAAAAAAAAAAGTAAATTATTAACAAAATTGTTCAGCAATCGAAATGGACGAACCACGACAAATTCTCGAGAAAATTGCACAAATTCTGAAATCGCGGCCATAAGACATGATAGCGGATTATATATAAATTCGTAGTACATATTTCTTGATCTTGATCCTTTGCCTGGAAGAATAAAGTGGAGTGGACTTATCTGTCAAAAGTATCTGATCTATTCGATTTAGTTGCTATTTTCTCGTCAGCGCCTTGAGAGAACAACATCATTCCTCCCGTCTTCGAATCGAGGAGGAAAGTGCTCGAACAAACATTGAGGAAAAGACCGAAACAAGGTCGAAAGAGCGGCACAGTCAGCAGTTTCTCGAGGAAAACAGCTCTCCCTCTAATACTAGAATTCATCAAACTTCCTGAGTAAACGATTAACGGTAAGGATACAATGTAATTGAGAAACATTTTCCGATCTTACAACACGTCAGATTCGTTTTTTTATTTATTACTATTTTTCATACATCATTAGATTCTAGATATTCTCAAAGTTTCTTTCTTTTCGTATCAAATTTTCTAATTTTTCGATTGCCAATTCGAAATGGAACAGATACTCAGTTCAACTTGGTCTATTAATAACTCAAATACGATAATTAGAAAAAGAAAGTCGTACATTTAGAAATTCTTTCAGGTGACTAATTTTTCGATAAATTTCCATTCGATCGAAATTATTTCTACCAATATTGTATCTATTTTGCAAATAATTACGCAATAAAGGGTTTACCTGTTTAAATTTTTAGGATCCATTCAATATATTATATAAAGGGAAGAGGAAAAAATCAAGAGAGAGAATCGTTGATGCAATTGAATGAACGAGAAGGAAAAGCAAAAGCTTCGATTCGAAGTGCGGCCGTCCGCGTGGAGTTTACGTTAAAAGCCACGTGGGAACCGCGGCTGTGAATAGCCGATACTTGCCTACGCCTACGCTCACGCGGTTAGCTTTTCATCGCAGCATTCGTGCCTTCTTTTTACCTTGGACACTTGTCTCATGGTTGTCCACATGGTTGTAGCACAACGAGATCGGATTCTCCGCGAAAATTACGTCTTGGATCGTTGCATTTAAGCTTGCGTTGCACAGTGTGCCACGTAACCACCGCGCGCTTGTCTCAAGCACGGGCCAAGAGTTCTTGAAATGCTGTGCAAACGACGTCGGCTCAGCAATGAACACGTTCCACAGATTTTCTAACGAGTTCCAACGATATCCATAATGGGACGATGCTATGCATCCTTGAAGAATAAGAACGAGTGGAATGTAGTTATTGTTGGAGGGGGATGTTTCTTTATTTTTCGCTTTTTCTTTTATTAGATTAGGTTAGGTTTAGTTTTTCGTTTACGATGCTATGCGTTGTCGAGTGGAATATAGTTATTTTTTTCTATTCCTTCGTATTAAGTTAGGTTGGGCCAATTTGGAAAATGAAAAAAATTTCATTTGCATTTTGAAAAATATGATTTTAATGAAGATTCACGTGTAATGGTGTTTATATCTTTGATAAATTTATTTTAATCTTTTTTTACAAGTGTGAATATAACCTCTCTCTCTCTCTCTCTTTTGAAACCTGCTTTTTTTAATTCTTCTTGATTAGATGAAGGTGTCGTAGATACAGTGATTTCTTTTGTGATAGAAAATTGAAATCGAAATTTTAAATTTTATCAGGAATTATATAATAGGATAATGCAAAGGATTAAGCAAAGTGTTAGAATTTCTATCATTCTTGTATCATTTAGAAAATTATGAAACTTTAAGGATTCATTTTTTCCAAGTGATGTTCGATACTAATGAAAGAAAGTATATATCTACAATTCATAATGAATAATCACATTCTGTTTCATAAAACAGAATATTTTTTTTAAAGTAACAATTCTTTTTTAAAATCTTTGCTGAATTCATTGGTAGAATACAGTATATACAGTACATAAATATACTCATTACACGTTTATTTTAAACCTCAACAATCGTGTAACTGTGTCTGTAATATCGCACAAGTTTTACAAATACGTTTCACACGTTACATTTACATTATTCAATAAAAGAAAGAAAAGAAGAAGAACTCTCTTGCTCGCTCGATTTTACTTTTCTCTTCGATTTTAAATTCACGATCAGATCCTTTCTTTCTTTCCTGAAAAAATATCAGAAATTTTTCTTTTTATCCCCGCTGTGATAACCTTTTCTTTCTTATCGTTGAAATCATTAGTTGATCGATATTCTTGCGATCTACGATGAACAATTTGCGTGCCCTCCTTGCGTTTCGCCACGTGCAGACCCGATTACTAAGCCCGAATACGTGCTTATCCTTGAACGGTTCGCAGCTTAATTTCGCCTGTAACCACGAAACGAGAATCACGCGAATCTTAGGCAACATCGATATTGTCAGTATTGATAAATACGAGTAATATTGTTGATACTGAGTCTTGATATTGATATTAGAAGAAGATTAGATAATATTAAAAGTGTCATTAACGCGTACGATTCCTTTTATAGACAGATATTACAAGAAAAAAAAAAAGAAGACGAAGTTCATTTCGAATAGTTTTTGAGAAACGAGTGAAATCAATTATTCTCGACGAAATAATGCCGATAATAATTATTATTTTAAAAGCGAGTTTAAGTAAGACTTACTTAACTACTTTAAGTAAGTAAGATTTATTTTCTACGATTGAAACGATCTTTTTTTTGCCTTTTTTAATTCAAAAAAATTATTGTATTTACCTATTAATTTCAAAACAATTTTCTTTACAATAAAATAAAATTTGC